AGTACATCAACACACAGTGCAGAAGCTTCACCAGTACATCAACACAAAGGTGGAAGCTTCACATACAGTACATCAACACACAGTGGAGAAAGCTTCGCATACAATACATCAACACACAGTGGAGAAAGCTTCACATACAGTACATCAACACACAGTGGGGCTTTACATGCACAGTACACACAGTGGGCTTCACATACAGTACATCAACACGGTGGGAGAAGCTTCGTACAGTACATCAACACACGGTGGAAAAGCTTCACGTACAGCGTGCATCAACACACAGTGGAAGCTTTACATACATTACATCAACACACTGGAGAAAGCACACGCATACAGTACATCAACACACAGTGAAGAAGCTTCGCATACAGTACATCAACACTGATGGAGAAAGCTTCACATGGCACAACACACAGTTGAGAAGCTTCGCATACAGTACATCAACACACAGTGGGCTTCACGGCCACAGTACATCAACACGGTTGAAGCTTCACATACGAATACATCAACACAAAATTATGGGCTTCCACGTTACAGTACATCAACACACAGTGGAAGCTTTACATACATTACATCAACACACTGGGCTTCACCATTACAGTACATCAACTTTTACAGTGGAGAAGCTTCGCATACAGTACATCAACACACAGTGGAGAAGCTTCACGCATACAGCACAACACACAGTTGAGCTTCGCGCCTGGTACATCAACGCACACAGTGGGAAGCTTCACATACAGTACATCAACACACAGTTTGAGAAGCTTCACATACAGTCATCAACACACAGTGGAGAAGCTGCAAAGCCACAGTACATCAACACACAGTGGAAGCTTCGCATACAGTACATCAACACGCAATTTCGGAAGCACCGCGCCACAGTACATCAACACACCTGGTGGAGAAAGCTACATACAGTACATCAACACACAGTGGAAAAGCTTCACGTACAGTACATCAACACACAGTGGAGCTTTTTACATACATTACATCAACACACTGGAGAAGCTTCACATACAGTACATCAACACACAGTGAAGAAGCTTCGCGCACAGTACATCAACACACAGTGGAGAAGCTTCTGCATACAGCACAACACACAGTTGAGAAGCTTCGCATACAGTCACATCAACACAGTGGAAGCTTCACGTACAGTACATCAACACACAGTTGAGAGCTTCACATCTACAGTACACATCAACACAAAATTAAGAGAAGCTTCACGTACAGTACATCAACACACAGTGGGAGAAAGCTTTACGCATACATTACATCAACACACTGGAGAAGCTTCACATGCAGTACATCAACACACGGTGAAAGCTTCGCATACGGTACATCAACACACAGTGGGCTTCACATACAGCACAACACGGTTGAAGCTACGCATACGGTACATCAACACTACGGTGGAGAAAGCTTCACATGCAGTACATCAACACACACAGTTGAGAAGCTTCACATACAGTGCATCAACACAGTGAAGCTTCACATACAGTACATCAACATACAGTGGAAGCTTCGCGTACAGTACCATCAACACACAGTGGAGAAGCTTCACATACAGTACATCAACACACAGTGGGCTTCACATACAGTACATCAACACACAGTGGGCTTCACGGTACAGTACATCAACACACAGTGGAAGCTTTTACATACAGTACATCAACACACTGGAGAAGCTTCATACAGTACATCAACACAGTAAAGAAGAAGCTGCGCGTACAGTGCATCAACACACAGTGGGCTTCACATACAGTACATCAACACACAGTTGAGAAGCTTCACATACAGTGCATCAACACACAGTGGAAGCTTCACGTACAGTACACATCAACACACGGTGAAGCTTCACATACAGCACAACCTAAAGTTGGCTTCGCGCCACAATCACATCAACACACAGTGGAAGCTTCACATACAGTATCAACACACAGTGCATCAACACACAGTGGGCTTCACTTACAGTATCAACACACAGTGGAAGCTTCGCATACATTACATTAACACAGTGGAGAAGCTTCACGCCACCGGTACATCAGCTTACACAGTGGAGAAGGTTCACATAGCACATTAACACACAATGGAGCTTCACGGTACAACACACAGTGGGCTTCACATACAGTACATCGACACACAGTGGAGAAGCTTCACATACAGTACATCAACACACAGTTGAAGCTTCACGGCCACAGTATATCAACGCACGCAGTGGAGGCTTCACATACAGTACATCAACACACAGTGGAGAAGCTTCACATGCAATTCATCAACACACAGTGGAGAAAGCTTCACAGCCACAGTACATCAACACACAGTGGAGAAGCTTCACATACAGTACATCAACACACAGTGAGCTTCACATGCCTAGTACATCAACACACAGTGGAGAAGCTTCACATACAGTACATCAACACACAGTGGAGAAGCTTCACATACAGTACAACACACAGTGGAGAAGCTTCACGTACAGTACAACACACAGTGGAGAAGCTTCACATACAGTACAACACACAGTGGAGAAGCTTCACATACAGTACAACACACAGTGGAGAAGCTTCACATACAGTACAACACACAGTGGAGAAGCTTCACATACAGTACAACACACAGTGGAGAAGCTTCACATACATGTATTCCAAAAGTCTTAAAAATAAACGCAGTAGATAGTTTAATAAATGAACGCAAAAAAAGTCTTATAAATGAGCCCACTGGGGAAGTGATCCTATAACTGAACACCTTGAAAGGGTCACACTAATGAACGCGGACTCTCACTGGTTGCAGAGGAAAAATCTTACAAGTGAACGCTATAGAGATAATTTGTCCTCTTGTACAACTTGGCCTCTCTCATACACCCCAGCACTCTCTTATACACCCCAGCGCTCTCATACACCTCAGCACTCTCTCATGCTCCCCAGCACCCTTATACCCCCCAGCACTCTTTCATACACCCCAGCACTCTCTCATACTACCCAGCACGCCAACGTTCCTGAAGTGCTCCTTGACCAGCTGAATTGACCCCTATGGAGATTTCGCCGAGCTTAACCACAAAGGACTAGGTCACAGCCCCCGACCTCGGTTTAACGAGACAAAAAACGTAAACATTATGTCCCGGGATCTCAAAGGTTTAGGTGTATCTTTATTTTCTTATCTTTGCTCCTAGCCGAGAATAAGTGAATCGATACATGTTGTTACTGTCGAATCTTGACACATTTTGGGCGTCTTTCGGTTGTAATATTTGAGTAGAAGTTTAAATCAGCCAAGTTAGGTACGTGTACGTGATGCGTTTGGTATAGGTGCTGAAGTGGGTCTGTTTACATAAAACTACTTCAGAGGAGAAAATTTAACGGAAAGTTTCTCTCTTCATTCCCCCTGGTGAGGCTTGGACGACTAGGAGGCTTTTAGAATCCAGACCCCAAGGGAGTAAGGTCAGACAAGTCGTGGTTTTTTACGGAGGATTACGGCGGCTCTCGTGATCGCGAGCTTGATAGCTTTTGTGGAGGGATCGAGACTTATAATGGTGACTCTTCCAGAGTCCCTATATTTGGGACAGCCAAGTGGAGGCTGACCTGCGGGTGGAGGGAACACACCAAGAGTGCTTGTAATGCTTAAATGTTTGAGCGTTAGATCTTTTTATCTTAACTGCCGTACACTTAGTGCACAATTGACTTCGATTATAAGTGTCTTGGTATTGTTAATTAAAGTGGGTCCCGAAATCAAGACTGCCCGTTAGAGACAGTGTGGATACAGCACACTGTATACTAAGCCCTCGGTACATAAGGTGACACTGCACCCCATCGCCTTCACTTCCCCAACAGGGTGAACTGGGAGTGTCCTGAGCTTGAACTATCGATCCAAAAACAGTAAACGAGCTCTGTATCCACTTGGCCGGAGCAATTCTCATATCTAGTTAATGGATAATAATGCGTAAACACCTTATAGAATGAAAGAACAAATTCCCAAAAGTTCGTAGGTTTATTACCATCTTCTGGAAATATGAAAACGCTTGTATATGGTTCATTTAAATCACCACCTGAAGTTAACGAGGAAAATGGTGCAGAAATTGCACTGTGATTCTATCGTAACCCGACACATTATAATAATAATAATAATAATTAAGGGTTTATTAAGAAAACATGGCAGCTCGAAGGCTGAAAATATACAATGAACAGAGATGATAAGTTACATATGGTGAAATCGTGGATTGGGTCACTTGATTGACAAAAGCCTTCAATACAAAAACATACGAAACATAGAGTCAAAATATATATATTAACTTTAGATCTGGTACTGTGGGAGCTGGTCTGTAGACATTCTTGTGACCTGATGTCGTCGCCAACAAAGTCTTTCCCACTGTCTTGGTGGCCGTTGTACCTGGTTGCTAAGCCGCTACCTTGCTGCAGCTGCAGATGTACCACATGGTCCGGGTAGGTCCTCCAGCTCACACAGGGTGGAGGTGGTTCTTGTTCCTCATGTGATGAAGTTAGGAATTCATATTTTCTCACCTGGATGGAGTAGGGAGTCCTCATTTCTCTCCTGGTGTAGTTTGGAGTGTTTCTTGGCTTCTCATCCAGTGTTGGGGGTGGCGAGTGTACCAAGGGCTGTGTGTGTCAGGTCAAGGTGTCAGGTCAACATTGGCCGCTAAGTACTGATTGTCGCTCTAACAGTTGTTTCTTCTGTTCGAGTTGAAATTGTCACCTTTGTATATTAGTTGTGGGTTGATCACCAATCTTTGCACTGTATTGTTGGTGGGAGGGTGTTGATAAATCCAGATGGGGAGGAGTAAATGGGGAGGGGAAGGGCCCGACAGACCGGGCTGGCAGCTGTCTCCATGGTCAAGAGACCACGGGCAACGCCGACTACACACGTCCTTACCCTATGAAGGCTGTGTGTGTGTGTGTGTTCATGCATCTCCGCACACCTTCTGGAAATTGAGTGTCAGGAAACACGTCCCAGGAATTACGTTACGGACAGCACAGGAAGCGATCAATTCCGAGCTATTTGTATTCACCCAACATCCAAGTAACCTCAGACAGCCTGTTGTTCCTACACTTGTCACTCCTGTTGTTCCCATACTTGTCACTCCTGTTGTTCTCACACTTACCACTACTGTTGTTCCTACACTTGTCACTACTGTTGTTCCTACACTTGTCACTCCTGTTGTTCCTACACTTGCCACTACTGTTGTTCCTACACTTGTCACTCCTGTTGTTCCCATACTTGTCACTCCTGTTGTTCTCACACTTACCACTACTGTTGTTCCTACACTTGTCACTCCTGTTGTTCCCACACTTGTCACTCCTGTTGTTCTCACACTTGTCACTGCTGTTGTTCCCACACTTGTCACTGCTGTTGTTCCCACACTTGTCACTCCTGTTGTTCCTACACTTGCCACTACTGTTGTTCTTACACTTGTCACTCCTGTTGTTCCCACACTTGTCACTCCTGTTGTTCCTACACTTGCCACTACTGTTGTTCCTACACTTGTCACTCCTGTTGTTCCCATACTTGTCACTGCTGTTGTTCCTACACTTGTCACTACTGTTGTTCCACACTTGTCACCACCTTGTCACTGCTGTTGTTCCACACTTGTCACTCCTGTTGTTCCCACACTTGACACTACTGTTGTTCCCACAATTCTCACTACAGTTGTTCCCACACTTGTCACTTCTGTTGTTCCTACACTTGTCACTGCTGTTGTTCCCACACTTGTCACTGCTGTTGTTCCCACACTTGTCACTCCTGTTGTTCCTACACTTGCCACTACTGTTGTTCCTACACTTGTCACTCCTGTTGTTCCCACACTTGTCACTCCTGTTGTTCCTACACTTGCCACTACTGTTGTTCCTACACTTGTCACTCCTGTTGTTCCCATACTTGTCACTGCTGTTGTTCCTACACTTGTCTCTACTGTTGTTCCTACACTTGTCACAACTGTTCTCACACTTGTCACTCCTGTTGTTCCCACACTTGACACTACTGTTGTTCCCACAATTCTCACTACAGTTGTTCCCACACTTGTCACTTCTGTTGTTCCTACACTTGTCACTCCTGTTGTTCCTACACGTGTCACTCCTGTTGTTCCCATACTTGTCACTGCTGTTGTTCCTACACTTGTCACTACAGTTGTTCCCACACTTGTCACCACTACAGTTGTTCCCACACTTGTCACTTCTGTTGTTCCCACACTTGGCACTACAGCTGTTGTCACAGTTAAAACTCTACCTCACAGTAGTAACACTCTAACAGTACAGTAACCTACAGGAGGTCTGAGCTGTATGTACCTTATAATTTACGCATTCTGTATATGAGAGAGAGAGAGAGAGAGAGAGAGAGAGAGAGAGAGAGAGAGAGATGATAGTGTAAGCAGGTAACACGTACAGTACAGTATATTAACAGAACCTCCGTTGGATACATTTTCACGCACGGATACATCCCCCCCCCCTCCACCCACTGGACAACTTCACAGCAGACATGTGAATATCCTCAAGTGGCTATAATGTCTTAAGGTCCACTTTATCGAATATTTTTGTTAGTAATTGTCATGAAATGTTTAAGGAATCTGAAATATATTGTTTTCGTGGGAGATCACCACGCCTTCAGCATGCAAATTTAAGAACTTAGGCTTAAAAGACGTATGTAAGAGTTTAAATCTGCTTCAATAAGTCCAAGTTATAATTCTGGTTCATCAAATTTTATAGGAACTTTATATATAACTTAGAATTATACAGTATATTACCATTTGAGAATAATGACCTAATGAACCAAAATACTGTAGCATTAAACAAACGTGGTCACTCTGAAAATTAGGAAGCCCGTTTTTTCCCAGCTGAGAAAAAACCCACTAATGTGTCATCTCCCCGGCTCTCAGATAGAGGTTGCCAGAGGTGTATTGCTGCACTGTGCACGCCCTCGTTAATTTCAATAATTAATTACAATGACTTATTGTTTTAATTTAATTATTTATTCATAATTTAAGAACAATTATTATAATTATCTTTAGTGATTGAAGCTTACACATATAATCTCTAATTGCGTAATCTTTTGAAATATTGCGACTGTCAGTCATTTTTCCTCGCGATCCCCTGCAGGACGGCATCCGTCATCTGGCTAAATGTGATTTGCGTTTTTAATTAACTTTATTTCTCAATTAAATTATGAAAAATAGATCCATGGTTTTATGATATTTTGGTGTGAAAACGTCATTAGTGCTTGTTTGGCTTTTAATTCTCTTTGTTCAGAAAGGATAGGATATATTTTATTTCAACGGTATAAGAATTTATTGCTTTACGAACCACACACGAATAGTAGTAGTAGTAGTAAAAAAAAAGTAGTAATAGTAGTAGTAGCGAAGGTGTGGCTATTGGGGGAGGTAGTAGGAGTTGTACTGTAGTAGTAGTAGGCTTCGTCCTTAATAAACAAGAATTCACAGATGTCATTGCTCTTAGGTACGGTCGGCCAGTACAAGGTTTGCCCTCCCAATGCGTGTGTGGCTAATCTTATGACATCAACCACGCCATGGTGTGCAAGAGAGGGGGCTTCGTATGCATGAGGCATGGCGAAGTAAGGGATCTAACAGCAAATCTACTGAAGGAAATCTGCCACGACGTCGTGGTGGAACCGCCAATCCTTTCATTGGACGGAGAGAACCTACGTTACAGGACTTCAAACACATCCAACGATGTGGACGTCAGTGCTAGAGGATTCTGGACATGGGCACAGCGAGACTTCTCTAACATAAAGATTTTCGATCCCATGGCCGCATGTCACCGTAACCTAACTCTGGATGCTGCACACAAGAGGAACGAATATGACAAGATAAGGGCATATGGGGAGAGAATTCAGAACGTTGATCAAGGCAGCTTCTCTCCTTTAGTGTTAACAACCTCTGCTGGGATGGGACCAAGTGCAAGATTTTTTACGCCAGACTCACGGAGGTGTTATCTGAACGGAAGCAGTAGCCCAGAAGTTACACTACAGCCTGGTTGATATGTCGACTGTCCTTCATTATGTTTAGGTCTGCATTGCTTTGCTTCAGGGGAACGAGAGCATCGGCCCCAAAGCCGACAACAGTCGAACATATTGACCATGAGGCAACAGTCACTGAATGCCTCATAGATCTGCGGCTCAACTAACTCAACACAGCTAGGGCAGCTAATTATCTATTTGGATATTTAATTTTTAGGTAATAAAATAACGGCGAAGGTGTGGCTATTGGGGGAGGCTAGAGGCCACGTTCAACTAAATAAATAAAAAGTAGTAGTAGTAGCGAAGGTGTGGCTATTGGGAGAGGTTGTAATAATAATAGTAGTAGTAGTAGTAGTAGTTGGGAATGTATTTACTTGATTGTCTTATTGGAACAAAATACCTCCATGGAATTAATTTCTTTGTCATTTTTATCAGTTGAAATTTGTCATCACCAACATCACCCTTGGCTTCCTCTCATACAATTCAATTTTCAAAACTTTCCCAAATATATCACTTTTACTTGTTCAGCATTCTACTCTTTTAACACAATGTATATATTTTTGAAAATATTATACCATATTTTCTTCAGTAATCATGATTAGTATATACATTCACTTCTATATTATTATCAGCTTTATGTTCAAATAATACTTTTGCTGTTCATAATTAGTTTTCTTTGCTTAAGTTTTATTATATAGCCAAAGTACAAATATTTACACGAACTTTTCAGTATCTTTAACCTTGACAAAGGATTACTCTAAACACCTGCCCAGATGCCTCCAGTATCGGTTCCAACACTAAATACCAGTGAAGTCAACAAGTGGAACAAATTAAATACGACAAAGGATCCAACGCCACAGAACCGGAATTAAGTCGCTACACAAAGGGGTTGAATCCCTCGACATCAGTGTTAACAGTTAGGATTTAATGTGGGTGTTTGAGTATCTCTTCTCGTCAGGGTTCAGGACAACAACGATGAAACAAGATACCTTCAGCATATTCTTTTTCCTTCGGTTCTGTATTTCAGTCTCCTTAACCAATAACCTGCATCCACTGTCTTGTTCTCACGCCAATAGTTACGGAGAAGATTTCGTGGTTAAAGTCTTTGAGAATCCAGGCCTATAGACTTTGCTTCTCTGTGTTTTGGTTATAAATACTTCGCCAGCTACAATCCACAACACTCACCTGTTTATGGACACTTGAGAGTTTTTCATAGTGTAGGAGTGTATGAGTTGGGCTGTCTGATATATCTTGAGTCACTTGGGTGTATGACGTAGTGTATGAGTGTATGAATGGAGTGGCTATAATGCACACCTCCTCTCATAAGGTCTCCCCACATCCACCCAACTGTGCATCGATAGCTAACCTAACCTAACCTAACCTAACCTAACCTAACCTAATCTAACCTAACCTAACCTAACCTAACCTAACCAAACCAAACCCAATCCAAGGACTTAGCCTAACTGTACCGTTGACGAAGAGATGACGTTTGAGTACAAGGTCGATGTGTAGATGAGGCGTAGGTTAGGTTAGGTTAGGTGGAGTTAAGTGAATTAACTGGGCGTATGATGAGGGGTGTAGGGAGGCTGGGTGTATGGTGAGGGTGTAGAGGCTGGGTGTATGGTGAGGGTGTAGAGAGGCTGGGTGTATGGTGAGGGGTGTGAGGCTGGGTATATGATGAGGGTGTAGAGAGGCTGGGTGTATGGTGAGGGTGTAGGGAGGCTGGGTGTATGGTGAGGGGTGTGAGGCTGGGTATATGATGAGGGTGGGGCTGGGTGTATGGTGAGGGGTGTAGAGAGGCTGGGTGTATGGTGAGGGGTGTGAGGCTGGGTGTATGGTGAGGGTGTAGAGGCTGGGTGTATGGTGAGGGTATAGAGCCTGGGTGTATGTCGGGTGTGGGAGGCTGGGTGTATGGTGAGGTGTAGGGAGGCTGGGTGTATGGTGAGGTGTAGGAGGCTGGGTGTATGGTGGGGTGTAGAGAGGCTGGGTGTATGGTGAGGGTGTAGAGAGCTGGGTGTATGGTGAGGGTGTGAGAGGCTGGGTGTATGGTGGTGTAGGAGAGGCTGGGTGTATGGTGAGGGTGTGAGAGGCTGGGTGTGTATGGTGAGGGTGTAGAGAGGCTGGGTGTATGGTGAGGGGTGTAGAGAGCTGGGTGTATGGTGAGGGGTGTGAGAGGCTGGGTGTATGGTGAGGGTGTAGAGGCTGGGTGTATGGTGAGGGTGTAGAGGCTGGGTGTATGGTGAGGGTGTGAGAGCCTGGGTGTATGTTGTGGGTGTAGAGAGGCAGGGTGTATGGTGAGGTGTAGAGAGGCTGGGTGTATGTTGTGGGTGTGGAGAGGCAGGGTGTATGGTGAGGGTGTGAGAGCTGGGTGTATGGTGAGGGTGTAGAGAGGCTGGGTGTGGTGAGGGTGTGGAGAGGCTGGGTGTATGGTGAGGGTGTGAGGCTGGGTGTATGGGGGGTGTAGAGAGGCTGGGTGTATGGTGAGGGGTGTAGAGGCTGGGTGTGGTGAGGGTGTGAGAGGCTGGGTGTATGGTGGGGTGTAGAGGCTGGGTGTATGGTGAGGTGTGAGAGGCTGGGTGTATGGTGAGGTGTGAGAGCTGGGTGTATGGTGAGGTGTGAGGCTGGGTGTATGGTGAGGGTGTAGAGAGGCTGGTGTATGGTGAGGGGTGTAGAGAGGCTGGGTGTATGGTGAGGGTGTGGAGGCTGGGTGTATGTGGTGAGGGTGTAGAGAGGCTGGGTGTATGGTGAGGGTGTAGAGAGGCTGGGTGTATGATGAGGGTGTGAGAGGCTGGGTGTATGGTGAGGGTGTGAGAGGCTGGGTGTATGGTGAGGGGTGTGAGAGGCTGGGTGTATGGTGAGGGTGTGGGAGGCTGGGTGTGGGTGAGGGTATAGAAGCCTGGGTGTATGGTGAGGGTGTAGAAGGCTGGGTGTATGGTGAGGGTATAGAGGCTGGGTGTATGGTGAGGTGTAGAAGCCTGGGTGTATGGTGAGTAGAGAGGCTGGGTGTGGTGAGGGTGTAGAGGCGCTGGGTGTATGGTGAGGGTGGAGGCGCTGGGTGGTGAGGGAGAGGCTGGGGTATGAGGGTGTAGAGAGGCTGGGTGTATGGTGAGGGTGTAGAGAGGCTGGGTGTGGTGAGGGGTAGAGAGGCTGGGTGTATGGTGAGGGTGTAGGGAGGCTGGGTGTATGGTGAGGGTGTAGAGAACCTGGGTGTATGGTGAGGGTGTAGAGAGGCTGGGTGTATGGTGAGGGGTGTAGAGGCGCTATGGTGAGGGTGTAGAGAGGCTGGGTGTAGGTGATGATGAGAGCCTGGGTGTATGGTGAGGGGTGAGAGAGGCTGGGTGTATGGTGAGGGGTGTAGAGAGGCTGGGTGTAGGGTGAGGGTGTCAGAGGCTGGGTAAGGGAGAGGGTGTAGAGAGGCTGGGTGTAGGTGAGGGTGTAGAGAGGCTGGTGTATGGGGAGGGTAGAGAGCCTTGGTGGTGAGGGTGTAGAGAGGCTGGGTGTATGGTGAGGGTGTAGAGAGGCTGGATGTATGGTGAGGTAGGGAGGCTGGTGTATGTCGAGGGGTAGGGAGGCTGGGTGTATGGTGAGGGTGTAGAGAGGCTGGGTGTATGATGGTGTAGAGAGCAAAGGTGAGGGGTGTGTAGGAGGCTGGGTGTATGGTGAGGGTGTAGAGAGCCTGGATGTATGGTGAGAGGTGTAGGGAGGCTGTGTATGTCGAGGGGTATAGAGAGCCTGGGTGTATGGTGAGGGTGTAGAGAGGCTGGGTGTATGGTGAGGTATAGAGAGGCTGGGTGTATGGTGAGGGGTGTAGAGCCTGGGTGTATGGTGAGGGTGTAGAGAGGCTGGGTGTAGAGGGTGTAGAGGCGCTGGGTGTATGGTGAGGGGTGTAGAGAGGCTGGGTGGGAGAGGTGTAGAGAGCCTGGATGTATGGTGAGGGTGGGGAGGCTGGGTGTGTGGTGAGGTGTAGAGAGCCTGGATATGGTGAGAGGTGTAGAGAGGCTGGGTGTATGGTGAGGTGTAGAGAGCCTGGATGTATGGTGAGGGTGAGGGAGGCTGGGTTATGGTGAGGGGTAGAGAGCCTGGGATGTATGGTGAGGGGTGTAGAGGCCGGGGTGTGTATGTCGAGGGGTGTGGAGGCTGGGTGTATGGTGAGGGTGTAGGGAGGCTGGGTGTATGGTGAGGGTGTAGAGAGGCTGGGTGTATGGTGAGGGTAGAGAGCTGGGTGTATGATGAGGTAGAGAGGCTGGGTGTATGGTGAGGGTGTAGAGAGGCTGGGTGTATGGTGAGGGTGTAGGGAGGCTGGGTGTGGGGAGGGTGTAGAGCGGCTGGGTGTAGAGAGGGTGTAGAGAGGCTGGGTGTATGGTGGAGGGTGTAGAGAGGCTGGGTGTATGGTGAGGGGTGAGGGTGTAGAGAGGCTGGGTGTATGGTGAGGGTGTAGAGAGCCTGGGTGTGGTGAGGTGTAGAGAGGCTGGGTGTAGTGATGAGGTAGAGAGCCTGGGTGTATGGTGAGGGTGTAGAGAGGCAGGGGTATGGTGGAGGTTGTAGAGAGCCTGGGTGTATGGTGATGATGTAGAGAGGCTGGGTGTATGGTGAGGGTGTAGAGAGGCTGGGTGGTGTATGGTGAGGGTGAGAGAGGCTGGGTGTATGGTGAGGGTGTAGAGAGGCTGGGTAGTGGTGAGGGTGTGAGAGCCTGGGTGTATGGTGATGATGGAGAGCTGGGTGTATGGTGAGGGGTGTAGAGAGGCTGGGTGTATGGGAGGGTGTAGAGAGCCTGGGTGGTGTGGTGAGG